GGGTCAAAGTTGTTGGTATCCAAAGGAAGGCCTTGTCACAAGTATTATATATGTGAAGTGTGAAATCCCTAGCACCAACTGTTCAAAAGTTATGGCCAAGGTTAAAGTTTACCAAAAGTAGGTCAAAGTCAAGGTCAAAGGGTCAAAGATGTTGGTATTCAAAGGAAGGCCTTGTCACAAGTATTACATATATGAAGTGTGAAATCCCTAGCACCAACTGTTCAAAAGTTATGGCCAAGGTTAGATTTTTTCAAAAGTAGGTCAAACTCCTAGGTCAAGGTCAAAGGGTCAAAGGTGTTGGTATCCAAAGGAAGGCCTTTGTCACAATTAACGTCCAAACATGGTTCCATATATTTTAAAGCTGAACACGACTCGTAAATAGGCATACGCCATTTTCGATATTATATCTACGATACATCAACAGGGTATACTCTTCGCATTCGTTACACCTGACTGCTTTATTGTCACGGGTATGGCGTGGAATGGCGACCCGTGTTCGTGCTGGTTATCTTGCATACCTTTGTTTACATTTTATTGTAGTTACGTGTATCTGTGTTTGTTTATACACTTCACTGAACTGTACAACTATAATTGTAAGTTTCTTTTGTATCTTACTTTCCTGCATTAGACGAGGTATTACAGTTATTTTTGTCGCTACCGAGTGCTGTATAGCATACGTCCGTCTACACCGGTGTCGACTGATCATACTGAACAGTCTCCAAGTCAGGCCCTTTATATAGGGGTCCTCAGATATAGCGAGAATCCGAACAAAAATGGCGGACACACTGCTTTTACGAATCATGTTCAGCTTTAACATACAATTTTTTGCTATGTAAATAACTAACTTAAATGTCATAGCTGTGTTCCATAACATTTTATTTGTTCAGTAGAATTTACTTGCCGGGTTTAAATCCCGTGCCGTTTTGTAGTCTGTTTGGATGTAGCAATTGATTAGAGCAGACGGACTAGACTTGCTTGAGTATACAGTAGTATTCTTCATAAAGATAAAGTATTGACCAGACTTTCACATCTCTTCTGAGGTAAGTTTGTTTTATTAATTTAAAGGTTTTTATCTTATACAGTTTCCTAAAATGGCCAAGGGCCTTAGTTCTTAATTTTGATGTAAATTATGTGATTGAGTAATGTGTGCAAGTATTATTCTATTAGTATACAAGTACATTAAAGTATGTAGTGGCTACAATGTATGGTGTAAAGTACGTGTGTATAGTACGCAAATATTTCGTATATTTTGTGGAGTAGTTGCAGTAAAATGCTTGAGTAGATGCGGTAAAATGCAGTATGCAGTAAAATGCTAGAGTATTTGCAGTAAAATGCTGTATGCAGTAAAATGCTTGAGTAGTTGCAGTAAAATGCAGTATGCAGTAAAATGTAAATTTTACAGTAAATGTTATGATATGCACGAACACGAATCCTGTTAATATATTTTAGATACAAATGTTATAATGTATGTAATTTACAATAATGTTGTAGATCCCATTTGGTCCAGGAAGTCATTCAACCCAAACAACGATCCATTCTGAAATCTTAAATATGTATATAGCCAATAAAATGTAATTTAGTCAAAGAACTTAGTCCTTGTATTACTTTTATGAGGCGACCACTCGGCCTGCCTGCGACAGCCTTTTCACAAAGAAAATACATGTGAAGTATGAAAGCCCTAGCACCAAATGTTAAAAAGTTATGGCCAAGATTAAAGTTTTTCAAAAGTAGGTCAAACTTTCTCTAAAAGTACCAAGGATGACTTGATTTTCTTCCTTGCATTCTTATCTGTTTATAATAATTGAACAATGTTTGACGGGCGTATCATGTGCCATTGCGGTGCACTTTATTACACTTTTTCTTGAAACAAATAAATGGAATTATACTCCCTGTTGAAAAAGCAAAGCTGATAAACTATGTTTGATTTACGGGATTTTTAAAAATAGAGGTTAAAATACATATGAAGTGTTTTTACAGAGAGACTGATTTTTTTTTTAATGAGGCAAGTCAAAGACAAATCAAACATGGCTGATTATACCTTATATGTTATATAAAGGTCACATTTAAAAAAAAAATCAATTTGTATTTTCTCAATTCAAATGGGTTTTTCATTAATTACAAAGAATTGCTTCCTAAAATACAAAGTACAAGGTAGACTATCTGCCAGATTTATATACATGTATATATTTTGTGTATTTACACATTGGAATTGACAATGAAAGACTGTCTTCCTTGTTCCGTTGTTCGTTGTCCTAGAGAGGAAGATTTTTAAAGAATTAAAAGATGTTTTTCTATTTATTTTTATGTAGAACTTAATTACTTTGATCCCCAACTGTGACTACATCCTACCAACATGATTTGAAGAAAAAAAAACCCAATTAATCTGCAATACCTGAGGATGCTTATATACTTCAAGTATCATGACCCTGCTATTCTTGAGATGATTTTTTCCTATATTTTCCCATGTAAATCATTGATCTTTTATTGTGGTCCCATTCTATCCCGGAGGGGAGGGGGGCATGATTTTAATCTATACACTATGTCAGGACGCTTTCACGTAAATATCATCTTTTCTGGCCCAGTGATTCTTAAGAAGAAAGTTTCAAAGGATTTTCCCTATATATTTCGATGTAAAACAGATCTCTTATTGTGGGCCAACCCCGGGGGATGATTTACTAGTAAACACTTTGTAAAATATGAAGATAAAGAAAAGTGACCAATCTCATAAATCCAGAGAACAAACGAATCGTGCAAAAGGGCAAAACTTAGGCCCCTTGAAACACCAGAGGTGGGATGAGGTGCCTATGAGGAGGAAAAAGCATCCCTTGTTGACCGGTCACACACCTACCGTGAACCCTATGTATTGATAAGGTATACGGAGTACTCCACAGTCAGATTAGTATAAAAGAAATGACCTAACAAGTGGTATCTAAGCCAACGCTAGGTTGTATTCACAAACAAGTTCAATACTGCCTTGGATCTGGAATTTGCGAAATTTTACTTTAAAGGAGGTAGTCGAAATTCTTGTAACATCAACTTATTTGTCAGTAGCTTGCCTTGGTTTAAAAATTGATCGTACTTATAGCGTGCTCTTGCGTATCGAATCAATTGGGAGACATTAACACCATATGCAGGTGATGTTGGAACATAATTACATAAAAAGGGAAGTTGACGATGGAAAACCTGAAGTCATCCCGTTTTTCATACAGCTTAGTTATTTTTTGGCCATTATTGTCTATAGTCAATAAAACATTCAAATATAAAACAGATGTGGCAGTCTCTATAGTGTTGTTAATTTCCAGTTCACTGTAATGTATAGAGTCGACATATGAATGAAAGTAACCATAGTTAATTGATAAAACGTCGTCGATATTTCTAAATGTCGAGTAAGAAGCCACAGCAAGAGTTCTCTTTTTCTCATGTAGAAGTTTTTAAATAAATTCTGCTTCATAGGAATAGAAAAACAGATCGGCTTCTAAAGAGGCACGGTTAGTTCCCATCGGAATGTCAGAAATCTTTCATGAAAGTTTCATCCTTTCTTGCTTAGTTATTCTTAAGAAGATGATTTTAAAAGAATTTTCCTATATATCCCCATGTAAAACTTTGATCTCTTATTGTGGATACTCCAAGGGACTATGCTCTGAACAATTTAATATCTACACTTTGTCAGAAACACTTTTCAAATATATTTCATCTTTTTCTGAACACAACAACCCTATTTTTGCCTTTTTTGAATATCTTCCCTTGGAAGGTCTTGCCTCTTCATTAAAACAATATTAAATGCCCTTGTAAGAGGGCATGGTGCTTCTCAAATCCCCTTTACCCAAATGCTTTGTTTGAGATTAGCCTAGTAGCTCTTGAGAAAAAGTCGAAAATGTGAAAAGTTTCAGACAGGAAAAGAGGGATAGACGAACGGATGGATGCTGAACAACAGGTGATCAGTAAAGTTTACTCCAGGTTAAAGCTTATGTCAGCTAAGAAAGAATGTAGTTATATAGACATCTATTGGTTTTGGTGCTTTTTGAACAAAGACGCTACCAGGTTCATTCATTCTTTCTTCTCTTTTATTGGAGATTCATTTTATACAAAATACAAAGTCAAATAAAGCAGGCCCGTAGGAAGCAATTTCAGTTGGGGGGGGGGGGGCAAAACCTCACATTTTCAGTTTGGGGGGCACTATCAACTACCAAAAATTCCTTGACAAGCAAAAAAAAAAAACAAAAACAAAAACAAAAAAAAAAAAACAAAATCAGACGTTATATAGTAGCTATGTTATCTATAGTATTCTACATATCGGCAAAATTATTGGGGGGCACGCCCCCCCCCCCCCGGTTCCTACGGCCATGTAAAGTAATTTTACATATAACTGCTAATTTGTACATTGTAAATAGTAATTCTCTGTAAACTCTGTCCTGGTCAAATAAGTTATATGCAATATACCCAATTATGGTTAATGAAATATGTCGATGAGATTTTCAGTTTTTACGTCCCATCTGTGACCTTCTCTTCCGTGATGTGTTTGGATCGTCTATCACAAGAGTTTCCACAGTTCTTCGCTGCCAAGTAAATACTCCTCCACAGAGCGACATTTAGCCTCTACCCATCCAAACACCACTTAAAGCGCCACTTTACAGAGGAGGACATTATAAATGGCGTGCGCAATAAACTGAACTTTTGTAATCAGTTATCTAGACAAAATAATGTGAATTTCATTCTATTGGATTTCTTTTATCCCGTAGGGAAGTTATTTATTAATTTAGTTTTTAAAAAGTTTACATAGCATATAAAGAATTATTGTTTTGTAATACAAAGGAAGTTATATGATGATTATTTTTTATTTCCCGCATCAAAAAAAAAATCATTATGTAAATGCATTGGCAACACTGTTCCTTTAAGTACTAAACAGGAAGTCGGTTTTAAAAACTGGAAACTTCCTCAAAACAAGAATTCGTCTAGATAAATACTTTCAGGGTGTTAATAACTTTGTCTTATCTATAACGATGGCATGGGTATACTATGTTGTGTTCAGTGTTGTTGTGGATTTGTTAGTGTCGGGAGAAAACTGCACGTCCTCTGGCTTGTGTTCCTGTTCTGTTACCAGGAATGGCATTAGAGCTGACTGTGGTAATTTGAATATATCCGACAAAGACTTACCCGTATTTACTGATCGTGTTACAGAGATAAACCTCAGTCACAATAACCTCACCAAATTTCCTACAACTTTACCGTCCAACTTGATTTATCTCGATTTGTGCGACAATAACTTGGAAGAGAATGTTATAAACACTTCAAGTCTAACTTTTGGAAATTCGTTATTGATACTCAAGCTAGACGATAACGAAAAATTGAAAAACATTTCATCTTTAAAGACTGTTTTTGATAGATTTGTTAATTTGAAAAATCTGTCGATGAAAAATACACCTAAAGATCAATTCAGTCTAAGAAGAAATTCATTTCCAGAACGCCTTCTTGAAAACTTGGTACATTTAATCCGACTTGATTTTAATGGATACAACTTTGGTGCTGTGTCGGATCTTTTCAATGGCTTTAATAATTCTGTTGAGGAGCTTGATCTCTCAGGAAATAATGGCTCATGTAGCATTGATATCATAGGGGGAAATATGTTTGAATATCTTACAAAGATTCGCTTTATTTCTATTTCATACTGCAGAGTGAAATCTGTGAATTCAGGTGTGTTTGAGCACTTATTCTATCTTAACCATCTCGACATTTCTAATAACGAAAAACTGACATTGGATGTTCTTAAAAACCTCACTTTCTCTCGTCCACCCTCAATCCGAAAACTATATGTAAATAATGTTCAATGCACTTTCGGTTTGACAACGGCGATACGAGTCGAACACGTGTCTGCATGGAATGAAACAAACCTTGAAGAGCTTCATGTTGCATCTAACAGAATCGCTTACCTGGATAGACTGGTCATGGGAATGTTACCCAAAACCCTGAGAATCATCAACATAGCAGATAATCAACTCACATACGGCTTATATCTTTTCGAAGTCCACAGTTTACAGAGTTTGACAATGTTGAACATTAGTTTTCAGGTTAACACGCATGCCCCAACAGTTACCAATTTTTTGGAAGAGTGCTTGGATAGAAAAAGAAAAAGGACTGCTCCAATGCGTACATTAAGACTTCCTAATTGGGGTGCCTGGTTTAATCCAAAAATCACTTTTTATATGCCACCACGCTTAAAGACCATCTTTGTTGATCGAACTAGATATTCACTCTCTGTTAGCTCTGGAATAATTTTGGCAAATAATTCAGTCACACATTTATATGCAAGTCGTAACTTGTTTTTTGAAATTCGTTCTCCAATGCTGGGCTTGCAAAAAGTGGAACATGTTGATCTTTCAAAAAATGTTGGCAATTTTCTGGTGGCCAACTCCTTTTATGATTGTAAGAATTTAAAATTTCTGAATCTTTCTTACAATTTTCTTGGAAGATGTCTAGAAAATGACACAGAAGGAAATATTTTTAACGGTCTATATAATTTAGAAACATTCGATTTGTCATACAATCGAATCTTAAGTCTGTCTAAGATGATGTTAAAAAGTTTTCACAATATAAAATATTTGAACATCAGCTTTAATAAATTAAGCGAATGGAATGTAGAAATGGGACACATGAAAAAGCTGGAATTGTTGGATTTGTCATACAATGAAATTTCTATTTTCAACGATAAAACAATTCAAGATCTTAATTCCATTCGCCATTCAAATACTACACAGATTAATCTATATAACAACCCATTACGCTGCTCTTGTGAAAGTCTGCAGTTTCTGAAATGGATGAATAGGTCCAAGTACATCCGGTTTATCCACGTGGAAAAGTACATTTGCCACTTTAGCAACGGAACAACTAGAAGGATTGGCGATATCCATTGGCTGATTTTACAAATGGAGAGGGAATGTTCCTCCTATTCAGCCATTATTACAATATGTGTCCTCGCCATCTTTGCTTTTGCCACTCATCTGGTTAGGGGCATTCTCTATCGTTATAGATGGAGAATTAGGTACATATACTACAATGCAAAAAGAAAGTACAAAAATAACGAAAAGAAAATATTTCCTACAAAATTTCGTTTTGATGCCTTTATTTCCTATGCAGAGGAAGATCGGGGATTATTCATTGACGATATTTTAAGACTTGAGAAGTCTGAGTCTGCCCGATATTGTCTCCATTGTCGAGACTTTATTCCAGGAACGAACATAGCTGACAACATCATTAATGCCATCCGTAACAGCAGAAAAACAGTATGCATGCTCTCCATCAACTACCTCAAGTCAAGGTGGTGCATGTTTGAATTCAATATGGCGCGTATGGAGAGTATTTACTCCACTTACAGACATGGCGAAAATGTCATATTCCTTGTAGTTTTGAATGACAGCGTGGCTGCTCATAAGGACCTGTCGCCATCCATGATCAGTCTTATGGAATCTCAATCTTATTTGAAGTATCCGAAAGACAGGAAGGAGACTCCCGCCTTCTGGGAAAAGTTTTCCATCAAATTACAAGACTTCTGTAACACTGAAGAACACTGTAAATGAACTTGAAATTATTTTAAGGTACTAGTTTGTCACTCGTCAGTTTTTGAGAAAAGTTTGGTCAGAATCCCTAACTTCAGAATTATTTACAGCGTATTACAATTAAATTTTATGACCTTTTTGAAATAAACAGTGCAAACTATGCAATATTTAATTTAAAAACTGCTCACAAAATTGTAAAGAAACAAGATTTTTGGGGGACTATTTTTGTGGTAGATAGATATATACATGTAGAAGAATTTCTTCAAATCTACACATTTGTTTGATTTAATATCTTGGAACTTTAGCCTTACATATTTTTACTCAGAGAATTTTTTGTCGCTTTATATGAAAATATTAAATATAGGTTTTTTAAAACAAATTTTACACATTCACTTAAGAGACTTTGCCAAAAAATGAAGAAACATTTAAGAAGTCAAGATGAAATGAACAGTGATTTTTCCCTGATAATCGCATATTTCGACCAATATCTCAAAATTTTTATCACCGATTCCATTTTTTCTTTTATTATTTTAAATTACACGATACATTCAACCGATCAGGACTAAAGTCATAAAAAGCTTGATACAAGAAAAAATTTTATTGCCTATCTACATTTTTAATACTCCAAAGATGATATTTTTAAGGCAAAAAAAGGTCACATAATATTTTCGCGCCTGAATTTGCACGATTTTTTTTTAATGATAAATATTATTTTACAAAAAATAAGTTTATTTTTATTGCCTTGATTACATTTGGTAGAATATGATAAAGGTAAATGTGAATAACCTTAAAGTTACAATTTAAAGTGCAAAAAGGTCAAGTTAATTGTATCGTTACTCAGTAAGATTCTCACTGACCTCAGGTTTTCTTCGCGATTTTGGGTCATATTATATGAATAGCTTTCTAAAATTTACTTCTAAAAAAATCCCTATTATAACTTACATTACGGATGACATACCTGAAGTTTTCATACTCAGAACAGTAAAATCTGACAATATTTACACCGGCACCTGCCGTTATTAATTTTTCTTTTAATAAAAAAAATATACATCCTACCTAAATTATTTAGATAGGGGGTATATTTTTTATAAAAAAAAAAATTAAAAAAAAAAAAAAACCAGTTGCCTGTGAATCTAAACTTTTGATGCAAGGTTTGCTTTTAAAAAAACACTGTTGGGAAAAAATGAATTAAACTACTCACTCGGTAACTGTGAATTGTTAACATGTACCAATTTACTAATGTATATGAGTTTAACACTACACAATGGGTTTAAGTTTGCCTAGTAACCAAATGTGGTTGTATATCGTTTTCATCACTAATCAATGTATATTTGTTTTAAACAAATCATGCTAAATAGATTTATCGTGATCTGTTTGCATTGTAAACTATAATCATTGTACACCAGTTTAACACTCATCTTTCCACACACACACACACACACCCACACACACACACACACACACAATAAATCTTCAGTTTAATAAATACATAATAATGACACACAATACATGTATATACTTCTCGACATGGCGAGTTCATTAATACTTCCTATTTCTTCAAAATGGCAAACAATTGATCTACTTTGTGCTTTTTCTTCAAGAGAAATAAAATGAATGTACATTGAGGAAAAACACTCTGTTTGAAGCATAGCCAGAAACATTTAAATTATTGTTCAGTAGAAAATGAAACATCAAGGAAAAAATATGAAGGAAATAAACTAAACAACATTATTATACATCGATTAATAATGAAGAGGAAGTGAGCTAAGCATACCCAATCAAGGGTGAAAGAGTAAATAAAATGGAAGTGAAAATACCCATATTACTGTAAAAAGTTATATAGATGACGTGAAAATAGCCACAGCATTGTATTAAGTAATATAGATGAAGTGAAAATACCCTCATTAGTGTAAAAAAGTTTTATAGATGAAGTTAAAATAACCACATTAGTGTAAAAAAGTTTTATAGATGAAGTTAAAATAACCACATTAGTGTAAAAAAGTTTTATAGATGAAGTTAAAATAACCACATTAGTGTAAAAAAGTTTTATAGATGAAGTTAAAATAACCACATTAGTGTAAAAAAGTTTTATAGATGAAGTTAAAATAACCACATTAGTGTAAAAAAGTTTTATAGATGAAGTTAAAATAACCACATTAGTGTAAAAAAGTTTTATAGATGAAGTTAAAATAACCACATTAGTGTAAAAAAGTTTTATAGATGAAGTTAAAATAACCACATTAGTGTAAAAATAATATAGATGAAGAGAATATACTCATATAATTATAAGAGTAAAAGGTTATATAGATGAAGTAAAAATACCCACATCAGTGTATTAAGTAATTCTAATATAGATGAAGAGAAAATACCCACATATTTCAGGTAAAAAGTTATATAGATGAAGTGAAAATACTCACATTAGTGTATGAAGTAATATAAATGAATTTAAAATACCCACATTAGATTAAAAGTTTTAAAGATGAAGTTAAAATAACCACATTAGTGTATTAAGTTACATAGATGAAGAGAAAATATTCACATAAGTTTAAAAAGTTGTATAGATGAAGTGAAATACCCACATTAGTGTAAATATTAATATAGATGAAGTGAAAATAACCACATTAGTGTAAATTAGGGATGTCAATTTTATCCGGACAGATTACTAGCAGTCGAATAGTCGGAGGCCTTAGTCGATCGATAGTCGAATATTCGTTGAAATTTAAATTAATTTTTCATATCATTTTTACTATCTGTCTTTTAGAGGCTACTTGTACAATATTAATCTACGCTATCACCATTATATAACAAATTTCTGAATCGTAAATATTTATGAAGTAATAAATATTTGTATCCAATGTTTTTCATTTCAAATATATATATTTACTGCACATTTTATCTAAATGCAGGATATCAAAATCTCGCATTTGTCCTTTCTTTTCATAACGTTAGTACATTTACCTGTTAATTGAAGCCATTTGTACGTGTCGTGTCAATGACCTGTGACTGATAAACAATTAAAGCTATTAAAGAGAGAGAGAGAGAGAGCTTGCGATGAATTTTAATTAGGAGATTTTGTGCAAATAGTCAATACAATCTTAAAATTACTGAATGATATATCAGAAAGAAACACCATTTAATTACGCTCATAACTGTCCCCCCCCCCCCCCCATTTACAATTATGTAACAGCTGTTAATTATGTTTTACGAATAGTTGCATTACATCAGATATTATGGAATTGCAGGTTGAAACTTTATTATTTGAATCTACAAAACCAAGCAATTCTTAAACGCTCTCTCCGTGTACAATAGTAAGAGGTAGACAATCCTTGATAATCATGTTTGTGAATTTACTAGGAAAGTTTCACTTGAAGATTTCGCTATGTTTGACGGATTCGGCATATAATATGATACATCAAATTTGATGTTCCACTGCAGAATACAAGTTCAGTTTCACATAACCGTGATAACGTACATATAACTGCTTTTCCATCCTGACATCTTTTAAAGTATTTTAAAACTGTTGATTTTGGAGGCATATTTGCCGAACATAAATTGACATACAAATAATTTCCTTTGAATTTTACGTACGAGAGCATTAACCTGTGAATTAAAGAATTGGGCAGATCCAAAATTATTAGTATGAATTTAAAATTACTATTAGGAAGCAAAGTTTTAACGAATAACCGAGTAAAAAAATTATAGTCGATAGTCCTTATGTTTGAACGATAGTCGAGTACTCGAATATTCGTTGACATCCCTACTGTAAATATTAATTTAGATGAAGTGAAAATACGTAAATAAAATAAGTAATATAGATGACCATAACAATCCTATTGTTGCCTTTTCTTGATTATCTTCTCTTGGAAGGTTTTGCCCCTTTATATCGTATCGACAAAAGAATGGAAATAACCATTGTTAATTGACAATACGTCGTCGATATATCTAAATGTCAACTTGAAGGCGACAGCAAGTGTTTTCTTCTTTTCACGTATAAGATTTTGGACAAATTAGATGCTTCATATATGAATACAAAAAAGGTCTGCTAATAACGGGGCGCAATTGGTACCCTTGGGAATTCCAATAGATTATTGGAAGACCTGGTCTCCAAAAACCACATATATATTGTCAATCAGAAACTCAAGCATCTTTTTAATGTCAACTTCAGAGTACTTGTGTGTACAATCAGAACGTTTTTTAACAAAATAATTTTGCAAATGACCAATGACAAGGTAAGTAAATTTACGAGTTCCATTTTTATTGAAAAAGCAGCTGTCAATGATATCAAAAAGCCTGGACTTTAATTTATCGTGGGGAATGGTTGTGTATAAAGCTGAAAAGTCGTACGTTTTTAAGCTGTTGATTTTGGTAAATACTTGTGATTTTAAATTTTCCAAAAGTTCCTTGGAATTTTTAAGTATCCACATCTGATTCACACCACTTCTCGAATATATTGTTGCGCAGTACTCTTGAAGTTTCTCCTTCACTACTGTTAATATCTTAGTGAGGAGTAAAAAAGAGGTTTGGTTGAAAATTAACTGGAACCCGCTATGTATCTTTGTAAGGATTTTTTATGAAGTTTCGGAATCCAATATAGATATGGTAATTCAAATTCATTTTGGTTGTTTGGAATATTAAAAATATTCAAAACTGACATATGATTTTGAAGAATTTCTTCCTTAGAAAGGGAACTATGAGTACAAGTTGGATTACCACTTGTAGAATTAATAATCCAAATTCCTGTAAAATACATTTAATATAATGCGCCTTACAAACAAAGACAATGTTGTTACCTGCTTTGTCAGCAGGGACCAGTACGTACTGATCATGTAATCTATCTAATTCTTTTTTCACTTCTGGATTATTGAATACAGAAGGATAGATGGTTCTCATATTGCCCCTCAATCTTTTAATGCGCGATTTTAACATATATCTGATACATTTAACCCATTCTGACAAAGTGTCAAGGTCTTCGATTCTTTTTCATGTCTGGCCCATCGCCTGGCGTAATCCTCTACAGAATC